GGGAGAACACTCCCCCCCATTCCTGGGAGAATACCCCCCCACTCCAGGGAGAACACCCCCACACTCCAGGGAGAACACTCCCCCCATTCCTGGGAGAATACCCCCCAACTCCAGGGAGAACACCCCCCCATACTCCTGTTTCTGCCCACCAATTACTTCCTCATGGCCTCTGGTGGAGATCAGATTTAGATTGCTTACTGTTTCAGGAGGGGACTATGGCTGGAAGGAGGCAAAGACCCAGACAAGAATGATTCAAGAGAGTTTGTTCATGCTAAGGCTGTTGGGCTATCACACTCAAAGTCCACAAGAAGGGGCAAACTGGTGAGGGCGAGTGAGCTCCGGGGCACATCCTCCCTGCCTTATTTCTTCACCAAGTGTGAGAATCAGGAATGCCCTCCATTAGGCGAGGGCAGGGGAGCAGCTGCCCCACTCCTCAGTGTCAAGCTAACTGCTTTCTGCATTGATCTTAGCGCAGTTGGTCAGGCAGGCAGAAGGAAAAGCCACCCGGTGGTTCACCTCGGAGTCATCACCCTCGGTATTTATCTGGCGCCAGGCCCCCTCTGCAAACACTGGTTTTTAATCCCTCAGCCTGTGGCAGCCAGAAAGAGAGCCGCTCAGAGGACAGCAATCGTGTCCCTGAGGCTACACAAGACTCAGTGTAAAAGCAGGGACTTGACAGGGACAGGCAGGCACTGAGAGTGGGGAGGCAGGTAGTGAAGGGAAAATATCTAGCCCGTTTTCTATTTTTAGACATCCGTTCCCCTCTAAATGCTGTTCTGTTTCTCAGCTCCCATGGGTAAGGCCACAAAGGACGGTAGAAGTTTTAGCAATCCTTCTGTGTCTGGGGGCTGGCCTGTAACCACTAAAATGACTGCGAGTCTCAATCCCATCCTTACTCCCTTTTCCCTTCTCAGAGACATGGATTACAATGTGATTGGAGGGAAGGGGCAAAAGGTCATTTTATTACACACAATAGCAACTCTGGGGTGATGGTTTCATACCAATTTTCCAGCTAAATGGGCACTCAAACAAAACATTCTTTCTAAGTCTTGAGCAAGAACAGGATGTCACGTATATAAAATCTGAGATAGTCCGTACCTAGTAAGATATTAGAGGGCCAAAGTCATTCAGGTCGTGTCCTCAGGAGAAGTCATCCTACATAGGCCCACAAAGCAGGAATCTTTCAGGCCCACAAGGCAATAAGAGCCATGAAGGCAAAACCAGCAGCCACACAGCCACACTTGACCAGAGGGCCCTCAGGACAAGCCAGTTCCCGCGGCAAGATTTCTAGGAAGGTGACGTACAGGAACGTGCCCGCTGCTACTCCCTCTAAGACAGCCTGGGCTAATCCCTGCCCTGGTCCTGAGGCCGCTCCAGCCACGGTCAGCCCTAGGGCCAGGCCCACGGGAGACATGAGTGCTAACGACAGTATGCAGAACGTGGCCCACCGCGAGCCGGCGCCAACCTTCAGCAGCCGCAGGCCTACGCTGAACACCACAAGCCCCTTGTGTGCCAAAACGGCCACACAGAGCTGCACAGTGGCCGCCACTGTGGTCTGCAGGCCCACGGCCAGGCCTTCGAACACAGAGTGAAAGGACAGAGAGATCAGAAGGACGAGGGCGCGGAGGGGACCCTGCGATGGCGAGGGCACCGGCGGGTGCTTGTGGAATCCAAAGGCATGAGTCCCTCCCCATTCCTCTTCCCGCACTGTTGATCCTCCAGCATCCCCTTGGCAGTACTGTAATGCCAGTGACTCCAGAAGGAAGACGAAGAAAAAGCCCAGCGAGATGACGAGCTCTCCATAGGGATACTCCACCTAGGAACAGAAAGAGGGAAAGAGATCGAGCACTTGATGGACACAGGGCCAGGAGTGAGAAGAGAATGGGAAATGTGGTAAAGGAACAGAGCAGGGAATGAGGCAGAAGTGAGAAACCTAGAGGGACCAGGGATAAGGTTTCTCTTGGGTTAGAAATACTAGACGGTCCAGGGTAGGAAGGGAAGCAAGAGCTTTTCCTGAGGGCCCACAAGCAAAGGGTTAGTTGGCGCCCTCTCGCTTTACAGTTGAACTGAGGGAAGAGATTCCTGGTTCCTCACACATCAGAAGGGCTTGCAAAATCCCGGGCTCACTCTCCGGACAGGCGCTAACAGTAGATACGTACGTAACCGGAAGCAGCATCACGAGAAGAGTTGCCTGTACTTCCTGTACTGTTCTAGGGAGACAGAACCAGAAGTCAGACCGAGTCTAGGCAGCGCTAGTCCTGTCCTGCCCTTTCAGCAACCAAGCTTCCCTTGGAAGCCCAAGATGACCATCTTCCACCAGCTGCTGCTCCACCCACAGGGCGCTCCGCTGCTTTTCCGCTTTCTTCCCCAGCTTCTGGTCACCCGGTTCCCCTGCTACCCACCTGCACCACCAATTTCTGAATTTCTGATTCAATTCCCTCCAGGGCTTCAGCAGTCATATGCATCAACCCTGCTCCCAGAAAGACGCCGGCAGAAATGCAGCCTAAGAGGCTGAGAACTCTGTAGTGACGACCTAAAAGCAAAAGTTAATCTCCAGTTAGCAGTGAGATAGTGGAAATGAATGAAGAACAATAGACAGCACCCAAGGTCTTCGGGGACGGGAGAACCTGAGCCAGGTGTCGGGAAGGTCTGAGATAAGCCTGGGTGTAAGGGACAGAGACAGAACGGGGCTCTACCTGTAGCTGCATCCATCTGGAACCATCTGAAGTAGATGGGAGCAAGGCCACAGCCCAGTGTGAGAACCAGAAGGGCAAGCAGGCAGCCAATTTTCACTCCAAGCAGTACCTCCATCTTTGGGGTGCAGGACGAGCAGAGGCTTCAGAATGACAAATGCAGCAGCTGAGGTGACCACAGTGGAGCGCTGCCTTGCGTGAATTCCAGGAGACTGTGGATATTCTCTTTGTCCTGGACTCCTTGACAGTCTGGGCGCAGCACAGCAGAGGAGGGCTCAGCCCCAGCCACCAGCCCTCCCACTATCTGGAGGCCCCTCCCCTGCCTCACGCCTTCCTGAGCTTCCAAACCAGAAACTCCAGACTCCCTGCCAGGTGTAGCTCAGTGAAATGTTCTCTTCAATGCTGTGACTAATCCAAGAGCTCTGGGGAGCCTTAGTTCATGTCTGGGGTTGATCTAACCTCAAATGGGACCATCGACAGTACTTACGGCCCAGCTAATGTGTGTGTGGGGCAAGCTGGCCGCGCCACAGTCAGGACACTTAACCTAAGCCTCACAGGTTCCTATGTTGATACTTGAACTGAACCCTTTCAGAGAGGATTTGGGGCCACTTGAGGGTAGAGGGGGTGGGGCTGAGCAGGGCTGCTTCTCTTCGGTGGGAATTAGCAAGTGAAGGGATTCCCCTTTCCTCTAATTCCAGAAAAATAGCTCCAGGCACAGAAATTTCCAAGGGAGCATGTGGAGTGATACCATCACTTTTTTTTTGGAGACAGGGTCTCATTGTGTAGCCCTGGCTAGCCTGGAACTGCATACACCAGGCTGGCCTTGATAAACTCATAGAAATTCACTCGCCTCTGTTTCTCCTGTGCTGTGATTAGAGTGGGTCACCATGTCCCACTTGTCACGGCTTCTGAAGCCCCAGCAGTGGAATCGTTATCTGTTTTTTCTCTTACAAAAGCTTAAATGCTTGCTTCTCTTTCTCTAAAGTCTAAAGAAATCCACAAACTTCAAACAAACACAAAGCCCAGGCAGGGCACTTTCTTTCTTTTGGTAAAGATAAGTTTGTGCTATGTTCTTGCTTCTATTCCTATAATTACCAACTGCCAACCTTGTCATTGCAATCATACAGGACAGTTTACGAGCTTGCTGTGCAGAACCTAGGGTTGCTCAATGGTCCATCAGCTGTCCATTGGTGCCAAGGAATCCAAGAACCTTGATTTTCATCAAAACCTGTGAAGTTACCAGCTTGCCCTTTTCCCTTTCTAGGTCGTAATCTCCGAGTGAGTGGCCCTGCCTTCTGGGTGGGTACCCTCCTGACAGGTTTGAAGGTTTGTTACCATTTCCTGCTGGGAACTGGGGTTGTTCTAGAAAGGAAACAGGAAAATGGAAACAAACTAAATAAACAGAAGCATTCTAAGTAGATCTAGATAAGGCTGGAGATGGGACCAGCCTTGAGGGAAAAGTGAGGCCAACTCCAGAGAAGGTTACCTCTGCAGAGACAGGGGTAAAGAAGTCAGCTAACTGCTAGTTCCCACTTCAGAGGCCCACATAAACACCAGTTGGGACCTGCTGAGCCAGTTCTCACAGGGCCTGAGGTGTCTTTCCCCACAACCCTAGCCATCTTTCAAGGAAGTATCTCCTTGAAGCAGTGCGAGCTCACTGCCTGAGGTCTCAGCATTCTCTTAATCACTGACAGGCCAGGACAATTGACCCCACATCTTTAAAAGTCATGACATCCACTTCTGTTCTTAACAAATTTATTATTAAAATTTCAAACAACAAGCACAGGGTACCAGCACTGTCTTCCTGGACACCAGGTAGCCTCGGCCTTGGCAGGTGTGATGGAAGAAAACACTTGTTACATCCGCATCCTCGTCAACTCTCTGTGGGCTCTTCAGCAGGGGACAGAGCGACCACAGGCAAAAGGTCTCCCCAGGAGCTGACACGGGCACAGCGATACAAATCCCTGCGGTACAAGAAATAGGCATTAACAGGGGCTGCAGGTTCTTGTTACATTTCCCCAGCCACTCACATCGCCAGTACCTGCCATGCCGACGGGCAGTAACCACAGCATGCTGCGTGTGCCCGTCTGGACAACAGAGGTGACAGTGCACATGGCGAGGCCGTTTAAGGACAGGCTGAGTGATGCGGGGCCAGCGAGGAGCCTCCTTCGGAGACCCCCTGGCGAGGATTACCATAGAGAATGTTTCCTCTTTCGGCTTCTTATTCTGAAAGAAGAATACAGGGGCTGTTTAGAGGGAACAGATCCTTTTGCTCCTTCCCCTTACGTGCCTGAAGTCCTTTCTCACATAGAGCTCCAGGTTATCCAGGGAATTCTGCAGCACTTCCCACCCTCCACCCCCATCTATCCATCTATTAATCCATCCTGTTTCCCTAGGCTATTCTCCTTGTTATAACTCTGAGAGTACATACCCAGCTGAAGGGGATAGGATGATAAGCCTGGGAGAAGCTACAGGCCAGGGGCTTGGAGGCTGTCAGCTGAGGACAAGGGAGCTCATGGGGACACTGCAATACACAAGAGACCCTCAGTGATGCTGGGACCGAGGAAGGCTTGTTGCACAACCTCATGGCTTGACTTTGATCCCCTAAATCCACAGAGAAGCAGAGACAGACTCTGACCTCCACGAGCGCATTGTAGCATGCACACGTGCACCACAGCACACACACTGGAAAGGCCAGGAAGAAGGGACACAGGAACAGGGGCTGGGAAAGAAAGGAGGGGAGAGTGGCTGAGCATCACCCTCTGGACGACACAACAGGAGGAAGTGGTACTTACTGGGGCAAAGACGAAGCCAGGCTGAAGATCCAAAGGGGACTTCTCTTTTTCCTGCAGTCAAGGAAACACAGCTGACCCTGTGGGATCTACAGGTGGAGAACTGAGGACTCCTCAGAATAATTCTCATACTGACAAACCATGCTCACTGAGTTAAGCTGGCTACAGCTCTACGGTGCCAAACAACAGATTTATCTTCACTACAGCAAAAAGGCAGGGACCTGGCAATGTATTCTCCCGCCAGCAACCTCCACTCAAATATCCCCCATTCTCCCACAGGTAAATTTAGGATGCTGTATTTAGGATGGCTCACACGGTTTCAGCAGCACCTTCAATCAGGAGTCAGGAAAGTAGTTTTGGAAAGGAGCAAGGAGCGAGCGACACCTGTCTGAGGCACTCGTGCAATCTGCAGTGTGAACGCTGTCACGGACGTGAGAACCGGGCAGCAGGCATGTGACAGTGTGACAGTGGCTTACGACACAAAGGTGGAGAACCTGAGGACAAGGAACCTTACCTGGAGGACCAGGCTCCTGGCCTCCATGAGAAGACGGTGCCCAGCTTTCGTTCCGTTCTCCACCAACACCTGTTAAAAACAGAGACAATGAGCAGGCACTCTGAATCCCACGAAACAAGTGCCGGTAGCTCCGTCAGGTGGGAAGTGGGCACTCTGACCCTAAGGAAGAGAAGCACTAGGTGATAACAAGAGGACAAGGCACAGAACCACAGCACCGCTTTAAACCTGAGGGGAAAGAACTCTAACTCACCAGAAAACGGCTTGTCTTACGCCACAAGTTCTGCACCACCTCAGTGCGGTCAGCCTTGCTGGGCAGTTCACTGAGGGCGAAGGCTGACACCACCACATCAAACTGGACCTGAGAACCAAGACAAGGGACACAACAGACGTGACATCTCCCCCCAAAAGCACAACAAATTCCTAACCTCTAAATACCCCTGATCCCAAGATATCTCATTATGTAACCCATGTTAGACCTGAATTAATGGTAATCTTCCAGCCTCGGCTCCTGAGTCCTGAGATTATAGGTGTGCACCACGATGCCTAGGCTGAAACCACAGCTATCCAAGAACAGCCTACTTGCCTTGGGTGACACAGGTAGAAACTGTCTGAAGAAGACACCGGGGATACAGGGCTTCCCTGACTCTGAACCACCTATGGGAGAAAGATACAGCAGCTGAGGGAATGTGAGCTTCACGAGTAGTCAGCTCAGTTAGGAGACACGCCTCAGATGACAACCCCAGTCGGGAGGTGCAAGACTGGAAGGGAGCCTTAAAATGTGGCCTGCTGACCCTGTCCAACCACCCAGGGCTCCACAAAGGCCTCTAACACTGCTCTACTGTAAGAATGGAAGGAGCTCAGATTATAATTTATATCTTTCTCCTCTACATCCCAATAGAACGCTTTCCTACTCCTTCAGCTTTTAGAAATCCCAAGATTAGAGCTTGGTCTTACCTGTTAGTAGCTTTTCAGCCAAACCCAGCATGGCGGCTGAAGTGTCCACACACACATATTCACGGAGGCTGTGGCCCCAAGTGCTATGAGCAGCCCTGAGATGAAGATAAAAAACCACCAATTCTTCTGATACATGGACATACTCACCTGCTCTCAGTCTACAGACAGGATCAGAACAGATAAACTAACAGTGTTATTTTATTTATTAGTACATTTATAATTTCCGAAATAAATGACAGATGATTCAAACACTGACTTGTAGACAAAATATTTTGATCAGTATGCAAAATCTCCTCCCTACACTAAATTGCTTTTTCTTCTGACCCGAGTACCGGGCCTTTTCATGGGTCACTCTTTGAATCTGACCCTAGCTCAAACACCTTCTTCTGCCTGGATAATCTGAGGGCCTTGTTCTCTGGTACCCGGGTTTGTTGATACTGACTCCCTAGAATTGGACCTGACAGGACCAAGGTTAGGAAAGCTATTTACCAGGCAACAGAACCAGTACCAGATCCAAAGTCCATCAACGTCTGTGGCTGGAACTCTGGAACTCGAGTCTGGATCTGAGGAAAACACACAACACGCAGAGAAAGGTAAGTTAGCACTAAGAACCCGAGAGACAATAGGGGGCCATGACAGAAGGGAAAGAATGCATGGTCAAGACCCAATACAAATCTCTGAGACAGGAGACATCTCACTGATTCTAAACCTTTCTCAGGCCACAGAATCTTTTTTAAAGGATAAAGAGGCTAAATGAACATGCTCATAACACTCCAAGAACTATCACAAAAGACTGATTTACAGATAATAAACCAATGATAAAAGGGGCAGGTGGGAAGCTGAGACTTTCACCTCATGGAACGCCCTGAAAACCGCTGCGAAAGCACCGTCTAATCTTGCTGCCATGTATATCAGACTCAGTTCTTCATTATAGCTGAAAAAGAAATCGGTCATTCCCACTAGGAGATAAACCCATCCCACAGTGACTCGAAAGTTTAGGAAGTGAAGAATTTGGAGAGGACTCCCCTAGGTTTCCCTGTCCAACACAGAACACCCCAGGGAGCTTTCTCAAACACAAGGCGACATCATCTCAGCTCTCCTCAAATTCAGCATTTCTTCTCTGTACCCTCTGGACAAGTCCTTACCTGAGCTTCTGCCAATGGTAGGTGGTCCGGCGCAGGGCGTGCAGTACTGCCTCACGAAGCTTCTCCTCTGTCTGAGCTGAGTCTAGGTGAGAAGGGCTGGAGGTGAGGGCCTGGGAGAACAAGTCAGATCCAGTATAGCACACTGCCTACGGAATCCTTCCCCTCCCACCTGAGAAAAGGCTCACAGGTCAAGAGAGGCCAAACCCAGCGAACACCTCGGGAGAGCGTGAACTGCCACCATCCCAGAGTGAACAGATCTCGCCTCTAATAGTATTTGAATCAACTTAATCTATCCAAGTTTTGCTTCATAGTAAACAGAAATCTGATAAAACTCTAAAAAGCTTTGCATTCGTTTATTGTGTGATCAGTTGGTCCTCACTTCACCCATTTGGTAGAAGGTGATCAAGTCCACACCATGTCTCTGCCCACACAATCGCAGTCTGAAAGCTAGAACACGGGCATGTTATGGACATTTCCCCTTCCATGCACTTAGGAGTTACAGAGTTTCAATATTTCCATAGAAAGAGGCTTGGAAATCCAAGTTCTGCGAGTGTGTTGAGATCAGTGCCATGTAAAATTCTACAAATACCCACTGTGATGGTTTGGCTGAGAATGGCCCCCATCAGCTCATTGTTTGAATGCTTAGTCACCAGGGAATGACATTATTTGAAAGGATTAGGAGGAGTGGCCTCTTAGGAGGAAGTGTATCATTGGAGGCAGTTTGCATGCCAAGCCCAAAGTCTCTCTCTTCCTGTTGCCTGCAGATCAGATGCTGAAACTCCAGTTACTTCTCCAGCACCAAGTCCGCATGCTGCCATGCTCGTCACCACGCTGACAACAGAAGCCAGCCCCAGTTAAAAGGCTTTCTTTTAATAAGAGTTGCCCGTGGCCAAGGTGTCTCTTCATAGCTACTCTGAACCAGGAACTGTGGGAAATGCAGGGAATACAGAAAGAATAAGGGGTAAACTTGCAATATGAAGTTCACAATCTTGAAAATAATCTTAAATGTAATAATTTTCTACTCCTGACGTGGGTTTCAGTCATCCACCCACTAGCCTTTCCGTCCCAATCTACTTTCTAGTAGGGCATCCGATAACAACTGCTGCTACTAAACATCAAATAAGAAACGGCAGCATTTATCTGAGATTTAAATGATTCCTTGCTGCTAATTTCCCTCTGACATTTCAATCTGGTTTACTTTTAGTCTTAAATCCCACCTTGCTTTTCCAGGAATTTTTTCTCAAGGTCCACAGCTCGTCTTTGCAATTCCTCCGGCTCTACCGGCAAATGTCGGCTCCAGAGATAGTTGGTGAGCGCCTGTACCTGCTTCTCTGTAGTGCGGACGGGTCTCTCTGTGGTCACAGACGTAAAGTCTCATCACTGCGTGCTGGCCTCGTTTTGTTTCTTTGGTTTCCCCACCCCGCAGTTTCTCACCAAGAAGCAGTAACTGCGCGGCGTTACTCAGTGCTTGTGGCAGCCGCACGTGCGGAAGACGCAGGATGCCGGGATGCTTACGATGGGGCTTCTTCCCCAGAAAATCGGAATTGTTGTCTACCTGGGACACACCGGGCACGAGGGCGGCGAATGCCTGCAGACCGCGAGAGAAACAGAAAGGTCGCAGGTGCTTGCTGCGGGAGGATCGCCGAGGTCGTCCTCCTCCAAGAGATGCCAGCAGAGGAAGGATGCACTTACTCGGGATTGGGGTCCTCGAAGGCTCCGGCAAGATCTGCAGCATGTCAACAGAAGCGTCACCTCCTTGGCGGTAGCCATGGCTCCAGGGCACACCGGAAACGGAAGTGAACATGCCTGTGACCCTCGGGCCCCCCCCCTCCACCCAGCAGCTAAGAGCGTCTTCCGTGGACCTTCGACCCGGACGGTATCGTCTAATGAGAAGAGTATTTGCCAGCAGCCAATAAGCGATCTCTATTTACGGAAACCGTACGTGAGAAGGGTTTAGTCTCCAGAGGGGGCGTGGTCTCAGGCCCGCTCGAACCTGAGGGCGGGGACCAGCGGGGCAGAGACGTGTTTGGGGCGGGGACCAGCGGGGCAGGGGCGTGTTTGGGGGCGGGGACCTGCGGAGCAGAGGCCTGGGCAGGGCGGGCGCGGGGCTGAGAGTCTGTGGGCAGGTGAAGATAACGTGTTGACTTCCTTTGTCTTCGTTTGGTGCTGGAAAATTCCGAGTCTTGGCTAGTTTTCCTGTGTAAAACGGGAGAATACCGTAACAAAAATCAGATTTAGGTGGCCAAGGATAGTGAAAGTTAATAATTATTATAGTTAGAGGTTTAATGAATATAAAGCCTAATTGGTTTACTTTTTCTTCCATCTGTTAGATGTCTTTCCGAGTCTGCTCCAGGTTTTCTGTTGAGAACTTCCACACAGGACACCGAATTCCCACATACCTGTTATTAACTTAGTTTTTCATGTGGTTAAATATACACAAAACCACGAACTTATTAGGTGACAGCTGAATTAAGCGCTAGGAAATTGAAAGGCCGACTTACACCTTTAAACGATGCACTATTTTGGGATTGTTGGTGCCTGGAATGCAAATGAAGAATTCTATGCTAAATGTTCCAAGTGTTAACGTGTGGTATTAAAAAGGCCTCACGTGCCGTAAACTGATTCCTGGCAGCCGCCCTTCACACAGTTGTGGTTTCGTCTTTAACCTCTTGGGGGCAGAAGAGTACCCTGCATTCTGTCAGTCCAGATAGAATAATTAAGGACCGCATGTGGGCAACTGTATTAGCTAGATACTTGGATGCCTGGTTTGTATTTGCGTCGTAGAGATCTGGCTTTATCAAATGAATCTTTGGAGACTCGAGGGAGTGTGTGTGACGTCTGTGGAAATGTTCTACCCACTGCAGTCCTTTTCAAGGTTCCTTTCTTTTTTTCTTCTCTCTCCTTCTCTCTCTGTCTCTCTCTCTGTCTCTCTCTCGTTGGCTTTTTGTTTTTGTTTTTTTGTTTGTTTGTTTGTTTTTTCAGAGATGGTCTTTACATAACCCTGGCTGGCCTGGAACTCACTGTCTAGACCAAGCTGGCTTAGAATGCACAGAGATCTGCCCGTCTTGCCTCCCGAGGGCTGGGTTTAAAGGCCAGTGCCACTCCGCCCAGCCTACACTTTGCAGTTCTTGTACTTTAGTTTTATGTTAAATTACCGACTTGTGGTAAAACAATAAATATCATTGTCACAAATGGATATGCCCCCGGGGCTCAGCTGTTTGCTGGTGAGACTCTAGAGCAGTGGCAGTCGGTCCCTGTAAACGGTTGTTGTAATGATTAAATATGAAAATGTCTGGGTCAAAACAAACCTTCAATAAATTTATGCTACTATTTTTATATGTGCTTTTGGAATTCGAAGGGACATGACTGTATCTTTTAATTGTTATTCTTTGTCCATATCATTTTAAAAACAGACGTGAAAAACAACAGTTTGGGGCCAGGTAATATAGAACACTGGGGAATGAGAAGAACTCAGAGAATTGGTGGTGTCTGTGAGTGAGCGACAGTCCCACCCCCAGCCAGACTGCTAATTGACATTGTTCATTTTTATTGGAAATGCAACAGGAGCTGACTGTGGTGGTTTGAATGAGAAAGGTCCCCTTGGCTTCACATTTGAATTCCCTCCCACACCCGGTTTTTGAGACAGGAGTCTCTCTGTGTAACAGTCCTGGCTGTCCTGGCACTCCCTTTGTAGACCAGGCTGGCCTTGAACTCACAGAGATCCACTTGCCTCTGCATTCAGAATGCTGGGATTAAAGGTGGGCACCACTACTTCCCGGCTGTGTCTGAATTCTTTGATCCCAGTTGGTGGAGTATTTTGGGAAGGCTTAGGAGGTGTGGCCTTGTTGGAAGAAGTGTGTCACTGGGCTTTGAGGCTTCAGAACACCGGTGCCATTCGCAGTGAGCTCTCTGCCTTCTGCGCTTGGTTCCATGCATGAGCTCCCAGCTGTTCCTGACAGGATGCTAATCCTCTGGAATCCTTAACCTCAATTAAACACTTCCTTTTATAAGTTGCTCTGCTCATGGTGATTTACCACAGCAATAGAACAGTTACAAAGACACTGACTTAGGCCTCCACATAAATGTGTGTCTTTTGACTGTTGTTGCTTTTTGCGACAGAATCTTGCAATGTAGCCCAAGCTGGTTTTCGACTCACAGTCTTGCCTCTGTCTCTGCAGTTCTGGAATTTTAGGCATATGCCACTGTGTTCTTCTGTTTTGTTTTTGTTTGTCTTTGAGATAGGGTCTCATGTAGCCCTGGCTAGTCCAGAGCTTGGTATGTAGACCAGGCTAGCCTCTACCAGAGATCTATATGCCTCTCAAGTACTGGAATCAAAGGTATGAGCTCTCACATCTGGTATTATCACCATGTTCTTAATTCATAGTTTTTTTAAAAACTTAACTAAATAAAACAAAACTCTGCAACAGCATCGTCCTCATGGAATCAGGATACCCGCAAGATAAATAAAATAATGAGCAGAAATCTTGGATAATTAGTACTGAAATGTGATAAAGGATTATTTTCTGTTTCTGTGCTCATCAGGTAAAAGTGCCTACTATCCTTTCAGAGGATCCTGGTTCACTTACTAGGACCCACAATGGGAAGCCTACACCAACCTTGGCTAACTCCAGCTCCAGGGGATCCAGTGCTTGCTTCTGGCCTCGAAGGACACTCACAGAAATGTTACATACCCCACCCTGCAAGATAGACAAGATAAGGATCTGGATCTAATCTACCTCCTCCCACCCCCTGGAAAAAACATTTCATACCTAATCTGCCATGTTAAGAATGTATTTCCAATCTATATCTCTACATTCAAAGCAAAGAGTGTAGAGAAACTAGACAGTGTGACATAACACCAACTACCTAAGGAAGCGTGTTTTAAAAAGCGTAATAATCTTATAATCTCAGCACTTTGGAGGCTGAGGCAGGAGGAAGGTAAGTCTGAGACTGGCTGGGTTTACATCGTGACATCATGATGTCGTGACATCATGTCTCAAAATCCAAAGTATCTGGGGATGGAACTCGGCTGGAAAATGTTTGCTCATCAAGCACGAAGTCCCAGGCTTGGTTTCCAGCTCCTGCACCTAGAGTGTGAGAGGTACAAGGAGGAGGATCAGGCATTCCAAGGTTGCTTATCTTAGTTTCTTCCCCGTTACTGAGGTAAAATATCCTGACCAAGCAACTGTCGCAAGAATGGCTTTATTTTAGGTTAGTGATGAAGAAGCCAAGGCGGGAGGAGCCTAAAGCAGCTAGCTGGTCACATTACAGTCCCAGTCAGAAGAGAAATGAACGCCTGCGCACACCTAGCTTTCTTCATTTTTTACACCGCAGAATCCGGCCCCAGGAATCACCTCCCAACTAAGTTGGGCTTTCCCACATTGTTGTAAGTCAGGAAATCAGGTGTTTCCTGGGGGCAGAGACCCATGAAAATCCTGACATCAACCCCAGCTTCTCTCGCTCTGTCAGACTCCACCGCATCCAAGTCCCAAAGACGACAGCAAACCTGACTGGCTCCCTGTGATCCCAGTGTTCAGGAGGTGGAGCGGGAGGACAGCCTGGGATGGATAGTCACGGAGACCCCAGCTCAAAATATCAAATAAAGACAAAAGCAGAGCAAGACAGAGATGGTAAAATAGGTGGGTGTGGTGGTGCAGCCTGCCATCCCAGCACTGGGCATGTAGAGGGCAGACGGTCAGGAGTCCAGGCCGGTTCTCTGGCTTACACGAAACCTTGTCATACACACTAAAACAACAACAGACAGCCCACCCCAAGAGAACCGACAAAACCAATGCTTGAAACAATTGCTCTCTGGCCAGTTCCAGTGGCGTCTCTGCGCCCAAAGCCCTCTCGCCTATCATCTCAGGGATGATTAGAACTTCAGCATCTTAAGTGAGTTCTGCTTTTCCCTGAATTGTTTTTGTATGTTTATGTATGGGTGTGTATGTGTGTGTGTGTGTACAGTGTGTATATGTGAATACGGTGTATGTATGGTGAGTATGTGTGTATATGGTGTGTATGTGTGTGTAGGTGTGCTAGTACCATAGTGTGTGTTTGGAGATCAGAGCGCCTACATCTGATCTTGTTGAGCCAAAGTCCCTCTTCTTATCTCTGCTACTGGCAGAGTACACACTCTAGGCTAGCTGGCTGGCAAGCTTCTGGGTAATTTTTCTCTTTCCCCGTTTCACTGTAGGAGCCCTGGGGTTACAGTAGCGCACTACTGTGCTTCTCCCTGGGCTTGGGTGGATAGTTTAGCCCCTGAGCCATCTCCCCAGTCCGTTTTTCTTCTTCCTCCCTTCCTTTCTTTCGCTCTCTTTTTGAGACAGGGTTCTGCTGTGTGGCTTGAGCGCTGGCTTGGACCTAGCTATGTAAACTAAGTAAACTCTTGGCAATCCTTCTGCCTCTGTTTCTCAAATGCTGGGGTCGTAGGTGTGTGTGCACCACCAAAACCAGCTTTCCCATGACCCCCACTAGTTTTCTCTTCTCCCTCACCTCCACCTTCTTTTTTTTCTGCCCTTTCATTTGATGGGATCTTTCTATGCAACTTAGGTTGGCTTGATCTTGTGACCCTTCTGCCTTTGCCCCTGGGTGCTAGAATTTACAGGACCTGCTATCTGTGTGCAGGGAGACTATAATTTGAAAAGAGAAGTCATATCATATAAATATTTTCCAATAAACATATTTTCTTGTTTTTATTTCAAAATCAATTGATTTTAAATCTTTTTTCTGTAAAAATTCGAGTCATATCTCTTTTTTAAAAGAGATTTATTTATTGTGTCTGCACAGTGTCTGCATATATGCCACCAGACCAGAAGAGGGCACCAGATCTCATCCTAGATGGCTGTGAGACACCATGTGGTTGCTGGAAGTTGAACTCAGGACCTCTGGAAGAGCGGGCAGCTCTCCTAACCTCTGAGCCATCTCTCCAGCCCTGAGTCATATCTCTTATGTAAAGCTCACTTCAGGTGTTTGCTGATGCACTTTCATGCTAAAAGGTTGTGCCTTGCTTTGAGATCTAGGCATGAGAAAGCGGTTCTGTTCTTCAGAGGTCTGGTAGCTCTGAACTGTGCCTAGGATGTATATAAGCCGACTAAACTTTTTCCTTTTCCAGGTTGCTTTTGGTATGGGGTTTATCAGAGCGACAGACACCACATTCCTGGATCTCTGGGGGTGGTATGCTGTGTGATTTCCATTTGATTTTTAACCCGTTTGCCACTGATTGCACCATCCTGGCCCTGGTCCCGTAGTGACCAAGATGCCAAATCAGAGAATAATTTCCTTCAAGAGAAGTCAGGCCACTCCATGTGCCTTCTCTCCTAGGTAGGAGAGGCCTCTACCCAGCCTGAGGAACTGCACACAAAACCAGCAGACGCTTACTAGCCTCAGACCTGGGGAGCTCAGTGAAGTCCACAGTTACACTGCCTTCCTCTGCTTCTTTTCTGTTTCTGTGACAGGGACTCTTTATGTAGCCCCGGCTGTCCTGTAACTCACAGAGATCTGAATGCTTCTGCCTCCTGAGCTCCAAGTGCTGCAGCTAAAGACGTTTTAGTGTCTGAGTCTTCCTATCAAGAGAGTGGAGTCTGCTGTGGAGAGTCCCTACCTAGGCGCCACAGCAATTTGGGGTTTGTACTGCCTGTGCTACTGAGGGTTTTTTTTTCCAACTTGACACAAATTAGGGTCATTTCAGAAGAGAGAACCTCAGCAGAAAAAAAAAATGCCCCCTTCAGATTGCCAAGGATAGGGAGTATCTCTCTTTCTCTCTCTCTCTCTCTCTCTCCTTTGTTCCTTTCTTCTTCTTTTTTTTTTTAAAAAAAAGAGGAAAGGATTTTTACTTTATTTTTGGTTTTTCAAGACAGGGTTTCTCTGTGTAGCCTTGGCTGTCCTAGACCAGACTGGCCTCAAACTCACAGAGATCAGTTTGCCTTTACCTCCTGAGTGCTGGGACTAAAGTTGTGCACCACCACCACCTGGAGGTGGGTATTTCTTGGTTAGTGATTGATGTGGAAGGGTCTGCCCACTGTGGTTGGTGTCAGCCTTAAACAGGTGGCCTATGACCTCAGCTTCAGGTCCCACCTTCAGGTTCCTGCCTTGACTTCCCTCCACGAGGGACTGCCGTCTTTGAGGAGGTGCTTTGGTTATGATCTCATCCCAGCAACAGAAAGACGAGCTAAGACACTTCTGCATGATGTGGCTCTAACGAGGTTGGGGGAGCCCTTCCTGTGACTCCAGGCTTGAACCTGAGACAGTTTCCTGAAGGGAAAGCACTGGGATTCAGTTCCTAGCACTCACATCGATGGCTCGCAACTGCTTGTAAGTCCACGTCCAGGGGTCTGATGTCTCTCGCCTCTCTGGGCGTCTGTACTCATGTGCACGTTGCCCCCTTCCGCATAAGAGGAAATCAGTCTTTAAAGAAAGAAAGGGAAACTTGGCTTTAGCCTTAGCAAGTTGTTGGAAAATGATTACTGTGTTATTAATGATCACTGTTATTCCGTACAGAGAAACTGTACAGACATGAGCGTTGGAGAAGCTACTCAACTTTACTGTGAAGAAATGAATGCCAAACATCTGTGGCAGTATCATTGCTCTGCATCGAAGGCCGTTTGTGATGTAACCAGAGCCAAGGGATGGCCGTGTTCCTTTGATCCAGGGTTCCAGTTTCATCTTGTCTACAGAAATCTTTGTGGTAGACTGGCAAGAATGAGTTGCATTCCTTTGTCCCCTTGGTATCATGGAGGACCTCCACTCTCCCTGAGACCCTGAGGTGGGGATCGCTTCTTAAATAGGAAAGACAGGCAGGCACCAAAGCCTGGGACACAAGACAAAAGTTCCTTTATTTCTAATGGCCTTTCTAGCTGGCAAGCGCTTCTGCTGGGGCAGGAGTTCCTTCTGGAAGAGTCATGGACATGACTCATAGTTGGAGAATTGTAAATTCAACAGAACAATTTTAATAAAGGGCTTTAGAAAAAGAAGCTTTGGAAAAGGAAAGGGAGTTTTGCCACACTGTAAGGTAACATGAAATTTGGTTTTATATTTCAGTGTCTTCTGAGAATGGAACGAGTGAAGAATGATCACAATTGTCCTATTGCCCCAAGGCTTTCAGGCTAAGAGGAGCGTGTTTAAAAACATACTTGCCGACTGGACAGTGGTGGCACACCTCTTTAAGCCCAGCACTTGGGAGGCAAAAGCAGGCAGGTCACTGAGTTCAAAGCCAGCCTGATCTGTGAGTTCTAGAACAGCCAGGGCTACAGAGAAACCCTGATAAAATGATGTAGAATTAAATAAACAGAATAAGTGCTTGCTTGTCATGAAGAGTCAGATGGACACTAATCAGGAGACTAGGAGAAGAGACATCGGCATTGGGGACCGAGACAGCCTTTCTCCATGAAACATCCCCATTTCTTCCAGAAAAGAATCACATAGCATGTGCTATTTGTGGACCATGCATTACAAGGGAATTTTTGATTCTTTTCTAAGAATAGATGATGCCATGGTAGAACTCTGTATGTCTGCCTGCCTGTCTGCCTACCCACCTATTTGTCTGTCTGTCTGTCTATCTATCTATCTATCTATCTATCTATCTATCTATCTATCTATCTAT